CAAGTTCTTTTGATATATTTGTAGATTCTTATTATCAAATAATATTATACTTCTTTCTATGTTTAAAAATGATTGTATTTCATTTTTTAAATATAAATTTAAATCATGTCCTATTATTCTAATCTTATTAATTAATGAATATAATTTTTTATTTCTTATTGATATAAAAGTTATTTCTTCTTTTATTGTTTCATTTATTGTTATTTTTTTTAATTCTGTTAAATTAAATTTTTTAATGATCAAATCTGATTTTATAGAATCTAATTTAACAGTTAAAAAATAATTTTTATACTTTTCAATTACTATTATTTTGTATTTTAAATGAATTATTAAATAACTATCTTGAATATAAAATCTTTCATACTCTTTTTTATTCTCTTTTATTTCAAAATAATCTTTATAAATCAATATAAAATCATTTAAATCATTGTTTATTGGAAACATGTATATTATTCTATTGTTATTAGGTTGTTTATCAATTAATTGTAATTCTTTATTATATAAAAATATGTTTTTACTTTTTATTATATAAAGATCTTCTTTTATAAATATTGCACTGATTGCTTGTTTCATTATATAAAGTCTTTCTATTGAATTACTTTCTATTCTATATAGTTTTCCATCGTTACTTTCTTTTTTATAAATAATAAACTTTGTCTTACTATCATTATAAACTATCTTATTTAATTGACTCTTCAAATTTAAAATCGTTTTTAATTCCATCAGGGTTTTTTTAAAATTTTTAAAACTTCTTTATTTTGTTTGTTTACAACTATGAAACTTTCTTTTATAAAATATTTAAACTAAGTTTATTGATTAAGTATGTTTAATAGTATTACTTTAACTATCTATCTTTGGAAATTTAGATTTAATTTAACTATGCATCAGTTTAATCATCAGAGAAGAGATTTTGTGGGAATTGGTTTTGATAATGTTAATATGTATAGTCGGGTTGAATTTCTTGGACAGGATGGTAAAATTGACAGTGTCTTTTCTAAAAAACACAACAGTGATATAGTTATAATTAAGAATCCTGTATCACTTCATAAAATTCTTATAAACAAGCCTTCTATTAAAATTGATGATTTGATTTTTACTAATAAGAAAACTAATTTTATAAACACTGATGTTAAGTATTTTAGAGTTAGTAATTTTACTTACTTTATTATTAGAATGTTTAAACTGTTTACCAGTAAAGTTTCTATCAAATATAACTTTACTGAATTTGAGTACATTCCTTTGGGTATTAAAATATTCCTTCATATGCCTATTTTACTTACTGTATTTATTGTTGCTGTTATTATTGTTACTTATGAACCTGAAATTAACGCGGAAATGATTAGAAATGAAATTGATAAAATACCTGATGTTAAATATAGTTCTGAGATGAATTGTGATTGTTTTTGTTCTATTTGTTTAGATAATTACATTGAGGGTGAATCTCTTAAAAATTTAGAATGTGGTCATATTTTTCATAAAGATTGTGCTAAATCTTGGTTAATGACTTCTTTATACTGTCCTATTTGTAGACATTCTGTTTCTAAACTTACTTCAACTCACAGATATGAATTACAAAGATCTTATGGTTTTATTTAGTTTTTAAAAAAAGTATAAAAAATTTAATAAATTTTATTAAAAATAAAAACAACTTGAAACATAAAAAATTATAAATAGAAATTTTTATTTATAATTATGTTGTTTAAATTAGCTTTAAATATTTTAACTGTATGTTGTTCCACTGGTTTAACTTCTAATTCTAAAAAAGTTGTAATAATTACAAGAGATGGTTGTGGATACAGCAAAGCTATGAGAGAAATGTTAATAAAAAACGGTATTCCTTATGTTGATTTAAACATTAACAAATTAAACAGTGATATCCGTTTAATTACTAATTATTCTAATAGTACTTTTCCACTCGTATTTGAAAATGGTAAATATATTGGTGGTTATTCTGAATCAACAACACATAATTTTATTAAACCAGTAAATAATGTTAATAATGATTTTAATGATTCTGATATGGAATTAGATAATTTTCTTAAAATGAATGAATAAATTTAATTAATCAGTCTTTCAGTCATTAACTTTTTAATTCTTTCACCTTCTTTTAATGAATTTTTAGGTGCTTTTATTTTTTTACTTAAAAAGTCTGTGATTTTTATAAACGAACACAAATAACCACCTTTAATTTTACTGTCTTTTTTCTCAAAAGTTTGATAAAAATCTATAAAATTATCAAAATAAAAGTCTAGATTATTTAAATAATCTCTAAATGAATATTTACACCACGTAAATTTTGTAAATCCCATTTGATAATAAACTTTAGCTGCTAATGCCATTGACTCATCTTTTGGTGATATGTGTAAGGCTAAATAACCATCTTTATGGTTCTTTTTATAATAATCAACAGAAAATTTCATTAGTTTTTTTGAAAGTCCCATATTTTGATATTTAGGAGTAACGCATACTAGAAAGTATCCAAATACATCAACAGTTGTTTTTTTATTGATTAGTCCTTTTAACTTATCAACAACTAAAAATGCTACTAGTTGATTTTTATGAAGAATCATAAAATGATCTAATTTAGAGGCTTTTGTTAACGAGAAAGTGGCGTTAAAACCAGGAAATAAATTCTTAACTTCTTTGTAATGTTTGGATAGTTGTTTAGTTGATTTAATAGGATATTTACTTGAATCTAATACAACGTATCTTAATTCATTTAAAATGCTTTGTGAATAAATTAAAGTTAACAAAATAGAATAGAACATTTGAGGGTTAAAAAAAATTTTTAATAAGTCAACTAGTTAATTGACAGTAAGTATATAAAAATCTTAAACTTTTTTATTAACTTGTAAAAATAGAAACATCATCATATTCTTCAGCTTTAGGTTTTAAAATTTTTACCGGTTTAAATATACTTTCTACTGATTTTAA